AACTAACTGACACGACAGCAGTCGTAAAATATTAAAATAAATGAACTATTTATTATACTGTCAGCTTGTTGTTGGGTGATAATTGATGAAATATTACGTAAATACAGCAAGATAGCCGTCACTTACAAACACGAGTCGGTGTACGAACGTATTATTTTATGGAAGGAAATGTTCGGGACGTTTCATAAGGCGAGGGTTGGGTCTGGTCCCTTACAAGTGCGGAGGCATAACTTTATTTTGAGATTAACATAATTACGGCCCATTTCTCTGTGGATTTAGGGTTGAGTACACTTGTTATTCCTTTTGTTGTGTGCTGGCGAAAACTTAAATTACTAATTACTTTAATTTTTCCTGCTAGCTACCTACTAATTCTTAATAGAGCAATCTTCTTTATAAATGAATTTTGCTTTTTTTTTTAAATGCGCGCACAAACGCGTAAAGTTAAATTAAAAAGCAACCAGTAATATTCATAAATAAAAGAATCATGAATAAAAAAAATCGATGTGTTTTAATATGGTTCGTAATAAACTATTATTTATAGAATATTTTTTGCTTATCGATTTTTATCAGCCACCTACTGACATTCTACACGAAACAATATCAAAAATAAAATGTATGTTAACATATAAAGCACAATTGCACGATCTCGCACTAAGATGTAACCTCTCAAAGATTTGAGTAATAAGCAAATAAGGCGTGATATTATACGTGAATGCTCAAGAATATTTTAAGGTTAAGTCTTACTTACGTGTTGAATACATTAACGACACAAGACAAGACAACATGGATTAAATAATTTAGTGAATAACTTGGAATTGGGATTTAAAAATGGTTTATAGTTTTAAATTTACCTACGACGTGGACGCAAATTCAATAAATCAGAACGTTCCACAAACGACTAACCTTGAAATATTTAAAACTGCCTTGTGATAACTTTGACATTTGGTTTGGTCTTATCATTTAATATCTAATGAAGGTGTTGACTTAATTCTGCGTAATCCTATTCTAAATCATATAAACATGTTAATTTCTTGACAATACCATAAATAATTTAATTAAAGAATTTGATTATAGTTAAATTTAAATTGTAATTAAGGATAAGAGATTTAGTATTTATTAACATAATTTATTTAACTAACAAAACTAAAAATCACGTTTGAAAATATATTATATTTGACCGCGTTGTCAAAATAAAATTGTTATCTAAAAAAAAATTGAAAAGAACCAGAGATTTTTCTACATTTTGAAAATGGGTAAAGTTTTTCGCTTAATTCGAGCGAAGCAACGGATACGTAGCTAGGCAGCGATGAGTCGGGAGGATCTTTTACAACCCACTTTTTAGTTTCACCCAATTCTCTTGAACACAGAACAAAGGATAAAACTTTCTCCATTAGAGTCTAAGTCGGTTGATTACTTTGCTATCTGAGGTCATCTTACGTGACTTAGTTAAATTACATCTAATTATTTAATCGACTAAGTAAATCGGTGTCATATTGTTAAAATACATTAATAATATAACATTAATGACTTTTAACATAAAAAATGAGTTTTATATTATGAAAGCAAATTTGTCTAAAAAAGTCTGTAAATCTTACAACGTAAAGACATTTTTAAAAGACATATTCTTTCCTAGATATGTGTTTGTATTAATTATTTGACTCTGATGTAAAATGCATTGTATTATTAGAAACAAGAAAAATATTACGTACAATTTTCTTTATACGTTTTTCGACATTGGGTTTACATAATTCCTTCAAATTATAGAAAAGAAATGCGAACCCTCTTTGTAAGAAAAGAACGGGCATCAGGTGTCTTCAACTGATCCGTTACAATGATATTATCTCCGACATATTTCCCGAGTTGGGGTCGTACAAGGAACTGTCACTCCCCATTCTGAATAAATTACGCCTACATAGATTTTTTTCACGTGTACTGAGACAAACCTTACAAATTGTGAAAGCGTTGTCTAAGAATAAATAACATAGCATGTTTGTGTAGTAAACTGCATGCGCTCGTTTCTGTGCTATTGACATTTAAAAGTCAAGGTATTTTATATGATAAAGGAATAAAACAAAGAAAACGGTGATTCACATTTTCTAAGGGCATAATTCAAATCGTGTTTTAAAGCGATACTTTGTAGAGTTTACTTCGTTTCACTTGACTTTATAAGACAAATTAGATAACACAAATTAATAAGACTTATCAAAATTTCTTTTATATTCTATTTAATCTACTCTACAAGTTTAATTTTAATACATCAGCGTATTTTATTTTGATTTTCTATTAAAATCTTTTAACTCTACCAAAATGCTTTAAGTATAATTCAACACTGACTAGCTTAGAGCTAACTTACTTAGGAATCTTTTTATAAAATGAAGTGAAAATAATCTATTGCAACGATGAAAGCTTAGCTTTTTGTTTTTTTCGATTTCTATTCGACCTTTCGTCCGGGCCTTTGACCGAATACCGAACCGAGAACCCCGTCTAGACAGCTTAGTCCTGACGCACACTCGACTGTTGATAAATAACGAAACATTTCTATTCACATGCATACTACATTATGATTTTATAGACGTGCTTATTTATATTAAGTGTGTTATGAAACAGTTACTCTTTTACTTTTACATAGTCAAGTTACTTAATATTCTACCAAAAGAATTTTTCCATAAAGTATGTCATCATCATCATCAGCTCACTATACGTCCCCACCGAGAGGCTCGGAGCCTACCCTAAGTTAAGGGTGATTAGACCATAGTCAACCACGTTGGCCAAGTGCGGGTTGGTTGACTTAAAACTACTACTATAAAGTATGTACCTATTTTATATTGTTAATGTTAGCGTTATTTATAATTTAGTTTTCAGCGTATCTTTGATTCGAAAAAAATATGAAAAACAAAAATGGCAAGAACGTAATCAACCATAACAATAGAACTTACTGTTATTATCAAAGATTTAATTTTATTAAAATAGTTTTGGTAACGTTAAAAACATGAAATATTTTTTTGAATAAATATTGTAGTGACACGGCAGTTGGCGGCCCCGTGCAGCCCTGCATTTTCCCGTCACTCGAGTTCTTATTTTATGACTCGCTATCTATACGAGATACGCCTAAATGTGTTATGTAATATGTTTAAATTGCTTCGAACAAATATTACGACGCGTCTATGGAAGGGGTGAGAGACGTGTTAAATTTCGAACGTCTTACGTGTTGTCTATTACTCGTTGTTTTTATTATTTAACATACAACTGTTAAAAGATAAAAGCCAAGGGTCGTTCCAGAACATAAATTTGATTCATTGTGGACATAAAATATTATTATAAAGCCTTTAATTTCTATATTACAACGATTTTGAAATGCATCTAGGCTGTGGTCGGAGGGCAAATTAAAATAATGTTAATTAATTTTCTACGTGTTCTCCTTACGATTTATTTGTACCAGGACATAGAAAATAGACAGTCACTTACTATAGTATAGTATTCTTAAAATTCGTATGTCGGTTTTAAAATGAAACAGAGTTATGAATAAAAAAGCTTAAATAATTTATATAATAGGATCTAAGTAAGCACGGCACGTAGATAGCTCGGTACGGAGCTCGCGTGAACAAAATATATCGATATAATCAAGTTGACTAAGTATATTATAACTTAATACTTTTTTAAATTAACTTTCAGTTAATTGGTATTATACATAAAAGGCGAATTTAGATTGTATCAATTAATTAATGCAAAAATATTAAAAATAAGTTGGGTACCAATTAAAATTATGTTTTATCTACTTTTCGAATGTTAACAGCGTTATATTTCAAATTAAAATTGCTAAATACGTAAAGCTCTTTATTAAAGCACGCAGTGTCGCCTGAAATATCTGAAGGGCAGGCAGACTGTCGAATATCGCTTAATCGAGCCAAGAGGTCGGAGGCACGTCGTTAATCGGAGGCTTTATGAGGGAGCCCTCTTTGGACGTCAACCGCTGCGAGGCACTCGCCGGTACCCACGCGGTAAAAATGCAGATAAAGCTATCTTATATGCTCAATAAAATTAATGTTTTATGATCACCTGAGTCTTTGTTTACTCGGTTCTTTGCGTGAGTAATGTGATTATTTCTTGTGGGTACTACATAAACATTGAAATGTATGCTATCTATCAGTATGTAACATTACGGATAATTTTAAATATTTTTTACATTTATCTTCTTATTTTAAAACGAAAATGGACGATAAAATAATATGTTGGAGAAGATAATTAATTAATTAAAATATTGTAATCTTTATATATATATGTAAATATAATAGTTATATAAAATATTAATTGTTTTCTTAATCAAATAACCAATAATATAAATGCGCAAGAAAAGCGTGGTCCGGGATAGAAGGACTTTGCCAGAACTGGAATAAATTTAAAGATGGCTGCCGTTCTTTAGCTCCGTCCTCCCCCCGCCTCGGCGCTAGCCCCGACGCAGCCTAAAACATTATGCACCCAAAAACCATTGTCTGTTGCCATGGCAACCGACCGCTCGATACCGAGGCCTCGCAGACGCGCTGCAAGAGTTATATTCATCTCCCTCACACTTTAGCCCTACATATGCTGAATCCGGATTTGTACGATCTTTCGGACAACGATGGCTGATTGCCAGGCATGTAGGGACAGCAGGGACGATCTGTAGCCGGAGTCTGGACAACTCTTGTTGGAAATATTTTATCATATAAGAATTCATTGGCTTAACAATCTCAAAAAAAAAACAATTTTCAGATAGGTAGGTGGGAATGAAGAGAATTTAAAAAACATACTTTTAGTTTAAAATAAATTATTTTAAGGTATGTTCAAATTTAATGACTGGCATTTTCAATTTGCTTAATTCATATTCATTACGCATATTTCAATAAAAATAATCATTACATTTGTCAATTATACCTACTATAACAATTTAACAATAACTAAAGTAATCTTTGAAGAATAAGAGAGTTACGTAAGAAGCTTATAGAAGATCGACATTGACTTACACTCAGAAATATTCTTACGAAAGGTTTAGGACACTTCTTGCTTCCTAATGTATAGACTTCTTACATCAAGGTCACTAACACTATGTTCAGAGCAAAACTGTACTACACTTATGATTTTTTTATATTCATAGACAAGTCACCTCCAAAAGCTACTGAACAAATGAACAAGGAAGTAGTTCACCAATTGCAAAATAAAATAAGAAAGTCAGTTATCAGCTCCCTCATTGGTCCATTTCATAAATATTGTCCTTTTTAACTCACCTAACTTTCTCTTTTTTGTTACAATTCCAATTCTTCCTGGGTATTTCGAACCCGGAAGATTTTTATTAACTTTCTCTTTTAAAACAATGATCTTTTGTTAGCCCTTTTTAAGGTATGTTTTTTTTATTGGTGGCATGTTTTATTCTATACCACACGTTATGAAATAATCTGTTAAAATGTTAATGCATGATTGTGATCTATGATATACAGAATTAAAAAGTTATATTTATATCTACTAATAGATTAAATACTGAACTCAAAACACAACTTTAAAAACATAGAAATGTATTTTAGATACTCTTCCATATGATTCAAAGTTAAAATATCTTTAAAGTGCAAATCACTAGCAAAAAATGAACATTGATACATAATTAAATTAAAGTTTTATTTGAAAAACAATAAAATTAGATTTTTTTTAACAAAAAAACAAAAATTCAACATGGAAAATAATGCAAAATATTTTACTGTAATATTTCAGGGTCAACTTACTTTTTTATTATTTACCTACTTATTTTAAACAAAATATTTTCCAGGTTGAAATCCAAATTTAAGGATTGAAAGTTCCTATACGAGTTTGCGTCCACATTAATGCATAAAAGTACATCTATATGTCAACAGATGGCGCTGTTTTAAAAATTTGTTATAGTTTGATAAAAATTCATTAAAATAATTTCGGTGCTGTTACGTCCATACGATTGGACTATTTAAACACGTTTATGCGATTGGTAGACACTTAGATATAAATTTTCTAGTCTCAAAACTAATGCCTAAAGTATATTTTTTGCAATAGGTATGCTTGGCAATAATTATAACGTGACAATATTTCTGAGAAGTATGATACCAAGAAAATTATTTATTTAAATTGACATTCGGATCACCTTTAGACCTTGCAGAAGCCAATGTGTTTAGCAGGTCGTGTTCATATCAGGAGTAACGTCTGAAAAACTGGTTTTACATGAACGACGTCAACCGTAATCGTAAAAAGTTATCGACTCGGCTCAGGAAGCGACGTTGGCGCCGGGTCGAAGTCAGACACATTGCTCTTTTGTTAGGTTCAAAATAGTAGACATGTATATAAGTATCATAATTATAGTCGTATAATATCCTAATAAATATTAATATTATTGACTTTTCACTACAATTTGTTTAATTACACTTAGTAAAATGTGTATGCTTAAATAGTACGAATTATAGAAATAAGATTGTCGCCAAACTGGACAATGAAAAAAAGGTTTAAAGATTTTTTTGTAGCTCAAAATATCACATATTATTTGCAAATTTTTAAATATTTTGTGAGACTCTAACGATATTCAGAGCAATAATTTTAGTATTTATTTTTTTAGTGATATGAATCAGAATAAGAAACTTGTTTGAAGTAGCCGTTGTCGCTGGAATTCGAAGCCAAGACCTCTCATAGTCCTGGTTGTAATTCAGAAGCCCGGAAGCGCTAAGCTGTCACTACTAATAGGTATTAATGCTGAGAAATTATTTAAGCATTAAATTTACATTAATTAAAACTAAAACTAAGAAAATATTAATATAATAATAATATATGTAATATTATAATTAAGTTAATAATTCACCCTGTTTAGATCTTATTGTGTCAAGTTAAAGTGTGATATATTTCTTCAGGATCGTCTAGTCTTTTGTTGTAATTGTGCACTCTTGCTGCTATGCAACAGAGCATATTAATTCTAATACATGTTTTAAGTTATGCAAGTTTGTCCATGTAAATAGATTAGAAATATGAATATAGCTACGTATTTTTTATTTTCATAACTTATTTTTAACATAGTATGGCATAAATACTGCGCCTTTGCCTTTGATGTGTCATAGGTTTTCGTATGCATGAAATAATGTAATAAAAAATAAAAATAAAAAGATTTTATAAAATTGCCCAAGTTGTTATAATCTTGCAGTGTTTAGTGTTCAACTAAGATATTGGAGTAACTTTGTTAGCCACCGCTTTGTTTGTGTTATCCTTTTGTTAGTTAACCGCTTTTGTAAAGGCTTTGTTTTACAATTGCATTTCGTGATAACGATACAACTTAAATTGTCAATTTGAGTGTTTATTTTGTTTTAATTAAGGAAAAGAGGTAATATGTAATTCTATTTTGTTTTTTTTCTGATATCAAAAGGTGCATTAGTATCTAGTGCAATTATTTGCATTGATTTAATAAAACAAGTTGGTGGTGTGACATTTTTTATTTATTAAAAACAGCTCTTTAAACTATTTACATAAAATTTATAACAGGTTCTAAACCATTATTATACTAAGATAATTAAAATTAGCCGTAAATAATAAATATTTATTTACTTAAATGCTACATATTATAGTATATAACTTAAGTTAAGAATTGTATAACAAGAACCTTAAAAACACGTAATTAAACAAATAAATGTAAATATTTGGTCTTCATTACTTGATCCTGTAATCATACATTATTTTAAATTATTTATACATGTATAGGCACATAAGAAATACAAAAAAGAAGAAATTTAAGAAGAAAAAGAAGAATTCTTCTCGGCGACTGTTGAGCAGTGTCATCTTCTGTTACGTATACTGAAGGTATACCGGAAAGAATGGAGCACTCAGGATACATTCAGTATACGTACAGAAGGCGACGCATAATCTTCTCTTCTATCTTCTGAAGAACCACCTGGAAGCTGGTAAGGATTACGGACAAGAATAATCTGAAAAAAAATGTTGTTAATATATTTTGGAATAATTTTTACTAAAAAATTACATGTTAATATTAGAAAATTGTGAGTACAAAGTTACATGTTTCTTCTCTTAAGTTACCGACAATTTCTTGAAAGCTAAATGTTATAAACCTGCACTCGGGGCCCGCGTCGTCTCTGCGCCACCACCATCTATAAAATAAAACATCCGATTTACAACACGCCTGGGTTTTAGGAGCAAAAAGGGTACACTGATATCGCATAAGACATTCTCACCGCCTACGCTCGCAGGGAAAATGTTAGAACAGAACATAAATAAATAAGAAAATCTTTAGGACAAAATTTTAAAGAATTTTAAAATACACTTAAACAATAGCGTCCATTGTTGTCCCGAAGCCAATAGCGTTTCGAGGGACGTGCAAAAAGACAGGATTGGTTTGCAAAAATTATATTCGCAATACCATGGACCGGTAGCAAAACGTTTACTACCTGCAGGACGAGCCGGGGCGTTCGGACACACTGGCTTTTGTTAACGACGCCTTTGTGTAAAGTATAAATTTCAAAAGAGACGACACTAAAGATAAGCAAAGAATTCGACTTTGAAAGGAATAATAGAAAGAGCGCGGGGGTTGATTTATACGGTTTAGGGACGCGACGCGACGCGACACAACGCGACCAGTCGCACGTTAGTTGCGGTCGGTGTTGCAGGCGGCGGGCGGCGAGAAGCACGTGACTTACCGGTCAGCTGTTCGAGCGCGAAGTAAACATTGGTGGGCGGCTGCGGCGCGTGTGTTCGGGCGCGGCGTCTCCGGGCGTCTGTGCGTCTGGCGTCGGGGCGCGCTCCCGGCCCGCCATCGATTGCCGCCGCCCTCGCGCACCCGGCGCGCGCAAAACCACCGGACTAATCCCGATCCAAGATTTTCATTACATACGCCATGATCGTTGTTATTTGCACCCCGTAATGTTTTTTGATAGTTTGCTTAGGACGCCCTTTTCTACTAGATTTCTTGAGGAAAGCGCATACATCCGAATATTAGTTTGAGTATCTAATCTAAATTAATGATTTTTTTCGGTCTGTAAAACGCCTTCCTGACACCTTTACTATAAAGATCACATCGCAGGTGGTGTTTTTTAAATACACATTTTAATTTTACATCTATATTCAATATTTATTATTTAATTATTGCATTTAGAAAATTTTGCTGATTAAAATGAAGCTAATAATGATAGGAGATTAGAAATGCGAGAGATGGAAATTCTTGTTAATATTCATTTCTCTTGACGTAGTGAGAATTGTATGTTCCCACTAAGTAAGGTCATTGTAGAGATGACTCAGACCTTTGATTTAATAAAAATATAATTTAATTTATTAAAAGCATAGATTCACATAAAGTAATATAAGTAAAAATTTATAGATGAATACATTTTATCCCTTCGTCCACATCAACGTTGTCGATTGTTCAAAATTAAAATCTGTATAATGAATTGAATTCATCTTATCTATGAACAAGGTTAATTTATAATAAAATTTTAATGACTTTAATGAATAATTGAACTTCGTAAAGCAGCAAATAGAACTTCCAAATGACTTTTAACAACCATTAAACTATAAACTACACTAATTACCTGCGTAATAAAAACGCGAAAGTTGCTTTGTACATGATTTACGTATAAAAATTAGTGTTAATTACTAATGTTTCATGTTATTAAGCTATATCAGGTGAATAAAAACAAAAAATTAATAGCAATTCGAATTATGTAACAATGTTTTGTTTTTGGTTTTCTTAGTTTTTACATGCTGTGGGGAATTTTGACTATGCTTTAGATGTTCATTTGTTTAACATTAGGAAAAATAATACGATTACGTTCAATATCATTTTGAAACTTTTTTTTTAACATATACCTAAGTTATAAAACTACGTGTATACAGCGTGTCCCAAAATTCAACGGTAAAACTGATCGATAACTATTCAAAAGTTAATATAACTTTTAAACAAAAAGAGTTGGATTTTTTTTTGTATTTTTCCCAGTGTAGTTATCGATCTGGCTATAACAGTAAAGTTTTATCGTTGAATTTTGTGACACGCTGTATATATAAACTATAGCCTTACATAATGTAGGCTTTGTTAAGATATAAAGTTTAATTTAGCAAATAGTGTGCGATGTACCAACCGGGCACCGGGCACAGGTGTAGGAGCAGCG